ACACTCATTACACAGGAGCGACTCATTGTCTTCACCGTTCTCTTCATTCCTTTGAGGACGTATAAAGAAAGCAGGTTGATAGTTATCTCTCTTTTGCTCTCTCTCGCTCTCTCTCGCTCTCTCTCGCTCTCTCTCTCGCTCTCTCTCTCTCTCTCTCTCTCTCTCGCTCTCTCTCTCGCTCTCTATCACCCTCTCCCCTCTCTCTCTCTCTCTCGACCCCTTTCCAGCCCACCCCACATCGTGTGCTCTGCGAAGCCATCCCGCCTGATGTGGGGCCATACTTCTCCCACTGCCTCCCCCACCACCCTCTCCCCTCTCTCTCTCTCTCTCTCTCTCTCTCTCTCTCTCTCTCTCTCGCCTCCTCCCTCTCTCGCCTCTTCCCTCTCTCTGGCAGCGCTCGCACCCCCTGTCTTCGACCAGGTGCCTGGCCGTCCGCCCGACTGTTCATCTGTCTGTTTGTACCTCCCGCCTAGCCATTACAGAGGCGCCCGCCCTCCTTAGTCCTCGGGCAGGGTGTTAGGAAGCCTCGCCCCCCCCCACCCCTCCTCCTCCTGCGTGCCCCAGTGACATCGGCAGGGTGGTGCCGGTGCCCCCCCCCCCCCCCCCCTGGTGGCAGGAGGCGGTGGGACCGCCAGTGGGTGGTGGTGGACCGAACTAACCCGGGCCCGGCGCAGATCAAAGGCGCCGTGGGGGCCATTCAGCAATGTTTAGCAAAGAGGTACTCTGCCCCGCCCGGGCTCTGCTCCCAGGCTCTGCCCCATCCCGGGGCGCTACCACTGGGCTCTACCACGGCGGGCTCTACCATCGAGGGCTCTACCACGGCGGGCTCTACCACTGAGGGATCTACCACCGAGGGCTCTACCACGGCGGGCCGTACCACCGCACCGAGGGCTCTACCATACTGGACCACGCGGTGGGCTCTGCCTCCAGGGCGCTGTCCCCGTGGACGTCTAGTCCACGAGACCCCGAGGGCTCTCTAGTCCCAATAATGGTCTTTGGTCTTTCCATCTTACAGGCCTGCTCTGCGCCGAGGTCCTGCACCCTTCCTGTCTAGAGAGAAACGAAGGGGGAGATAGGGGACGACGACGCAGGGTAGGCAGGGGAGGGGGGTAGCGTAGCTTGGCCTCCGCGACAGTTTAGCCAACTCGACGCCCAGACCAGCCGTCATCGCCGTGTGGCTAACTACCGTTTTGCCGACCGGTCAGGAAAAGGGACCAAGGGGGGGGGGAGGGGGGGTAAGCACAGCAGCGCGACGGCGCTCGAGACGTGATTACCGACCGGCAGCGGCGGAGCAGTGCAGGAAGCGAGGGAGCCGCGCGACGCAAACGGAGCGGAATGTATCCCTGCTCGATGAGCTCGAGTGAAAACCAACGTCGCGCGGGTGGCGGGGGTGGGCTGCATGCCGCCGCGCCAGCTGCCCCCACCGCCGCCGCCGCCGCCCCTGCAGGAGAGACACATTCCACACGGGCTCCCCACACACCAGCCGAGCGGGATGGCAAAAGTTGGGCGCGCACGGGGCGGCGGCGGCGGTATGGGCGCTGCCGGGGGCGGCGCCGCCGCCGAGCGGAGGCGTGGCGCCTGATGGAGACGCCCGCCCAGCCCAGCGCCGCCGAGCCGCCGCGCCTTCAAGCACTGCCATCTGCCCCATCAGTCATCGGGTTAAACCCAACGGAGAAAAGCACCCAACTTTTCACGGCGCGAGGCGGAAAGCGCGCGACGTTCATAGACATGCGAGGCCGCCGGGGCGGAGGTGGAGGCGAGCGCCGCCACGTAGCGAGCAGGCGAACAAGCAGCTTTTCTTTTTTAGAGCAACGGGGGGCAGCCATAGGTCACCGCCGTGAGGCGTCGCCAGGCTTTAGCCGCGTGAACGAACGGGTAGCGCCCGTGCGCCTGTGTTACGTTACCTTCATAAGGGAGGGAAGGGGGCGGGGATATGATGGGTCCGCTGGATGGTCCCTTTAGGGTCGCACAATATTTCTACCCCCTCCCCCGCGTCCGGTCAGCTGAAGCGCCTCGGTGCCCACGGGATCACGGCGTCCAGTGGGTGGATCACCACGGCCACCACTGCTCCGTTTTGGCTTTGACGGCAATAGCTCTCGCGTTGATCGCGCCGCTCGACTTTCGCACGTTATTCCCCTGCCCTCGATGGAATTCTGCAGGCTGCAGATGGGCTCGCAAACTTTACACCGTTAGGGGGTCAGGGAAGGGGAGCAGCGTTGCAGGACCCAGATCGAGAAGGAATTCCCTCCCCGGAAAACAGCTGTCGGGCGATTCACACCCGCTCTTTAGGGCATTTTGGGGAGGGGGGATACGTTCTATGCACTGGAAAGACAAAGCAGGTTTATCTTCCCTCGGGTGCTATGTTTTTCTGAATTTAACACCCTGGTTAATGGAATAAATTTCCGCAATGATTCTGAATATTGAAGTGCCTTTAGCAGGCATTATAGTCTTCGCACTCTTTACAGGTGGGAACACTTTTTTCCAGTGTGGCCGCCTGTTCCAGCCAGCCACAGACCGGCCGGAAGCCGGCCCAGCTGGGTGGGGCGGGGCGCCGACACCCTTTGACCCTTTGACAAAGCTACCTCTCGACCAGGACCTATCCCTTACAGCTGTTGCCCCGCAGCCGCTCTGGCTCTACCCTTCGCCTCCAGACTCCGCACCGGCCATCCCCGGCTTCCAGTGTAGTTTTCGGCCTCGTTGCCTGGGGCAGGGGAATGGGGAGGACGGAGGCCGATCTCTCCGCTTTCCTTCCCTCTGCCACCACCGGTCACCCCGGGGTGAGAACAGCTGCTGGAAAATGCAGGGGCCGTGGTAGCTTTCTTCCCTCCCCTCGTTTCTCCCCTTCTCCATGTATGGCAGCTGCGCCGACGAAGGCCCCTAAGGCGGCCAAAGTTGGCCATTCGATCTAAGTCGTCCCGAAGATCTCATTAAAACTGCGGCAGCAAACTTAAATTGGCCGCCTCCTCGGTCGCCAGTAAAAACTAAGTCACATATTCACAAAAGGCGCCGGCATCCTCCACGGCCGATCCCGGTTCCAGAGGAGCGAGAAGGTGGAGGGGAGGGGGGGGAGGATCCAGCCCTAGTGGCCGGCTGTAATCGGGAAGATCAGTGATCGCCTAGGCTGCTGGGAGTTTCTTCGGGACTTTGGGATGCCTGACGGTGTCTGTGGTGGTGGTATGGAAGAAGGCGGTGGGGGAACTGTGTCATTGCCCCTCGGATGCACCTTCGCCCTCCCTGCTTCGTCACGGCCCTCCCCACAACCCCCGCGCCACACCTCCCTACGCCCCTGCTCTCAGTTTCGCCCGTGCCGTTGCCCTGCCGCAGTGGCCGAGTTTAGTTGGCGAAGAAATCCCCCCTTCCCCTTCTTGCCCACCCTCTACCCTCCGACGGGAAAAAGGGGCGAAGGTCTTGTGCGGCGGGCGGGCGGCGGGGCAGGCAAGCCGGCCGAAGGGCGGAATTCTCGATGGCCACTTTTCCGTGAATAAAGTATTCAACGAGTCAACAGAAGAACTTCTTCGGGACGACGCGGCGGCGGCAGCGGCGTGCAGTTTAGGTCATGGCAACTTTGGTTTTTCCGCTTGCGATGAATAAATGGAGAACAAAGGGGGGGAGGGGGAGGGGTATCCCCTTCCTCCGGGACGGCCTAGTGCGGGTGGGGGGCAGGGGGCTCAGGCCCAGGGTGGCGCCTGGAACGAGGCCTCGGCGCGCGGCCTCGCCCCGCCACTGCTGTGCGTTCCATCAAAATCCCTCAACCGCTGTTGTGGTCTGGGGTGGGGGGGACGATTTGTCTTTATCGTCGTTGTGTGTTGCCAAGGCTCCGATGGACGCCCACCCTCCTGCGTCCCCCCGGGCAAAGTACAGTGTCGTGTGTATCGGTGGCGCTCCGCGCGGCCGGTTAGAGGGGGAAAATATCGCGCAGAAATGGCTGTCGACGAATTTTGCAAAGCTGCACGACCCGTCGCCAACCGAGTCCCCTCTTGCTTTCCTGTTTTATTGGCGGAGCTGACAATGCCCTCGGGAGTCGTCTTTTTCTGGCGACCGCGTCCATTTTGCTTCACTTCCAGCTACAGCACACAGTATAAGCTCTCGTTCCCCCGCGGTCCATTTCCGGTCTCATCAGTCTTTGTCTTGTGTTTTGCAGATCCCGAGGGCAACTCGGCGCCCCGCATCGAGCACGCCTTCGTCCTGAGCAGCGTGCGCGCGCGCGCCGGCAACCCCACGGACCTGGTGTGCGCCGCGCAGGGCTTCCCGCCGCCCGAGTACCGGTGAGTGTGTGGGCGGGGCGCATAGGGAACAAAAGAGTAGAACGAGAGAGGCAGAGTAGCTAGGAGGGAATACGGGGAAAGAGGGAGGTTATTGAGCAGATAGTGGAAAGCAATACCGCCAACCCCAACCCGTCCGTGGAGGTACACATGGCCGCGGGGGGCGCCGCGTAGCAGCGCGCCCAGCTGCACCGGTATTGCGCGGTGCTACGCGGCCGCGCGCGGCAGGCCCGTCCCTCCCCCTTGTCGGCCGGGCCAGCCGTTACCTCCGGCCGGAGGCGGCTGCACGGGCGGCTGGCTGGGCGGGGGGCGAGAATGTAGCGTTTTACTGTTGGAGACGTTTAGGCGTTATGGCGCTGCGATGTGTCACATGGTGCCGCGGAGTTATACTGCCGCTACGCTTTCAATCCCCTCCTCCTCCTCGGCCCGCTCCCGCTGCTCCGCGCTCCGCCTCTCCAGGCTGCGCGCCGTGCCCTTCCGCCTCGAGACATTTTCTTTATGCTGATCCTGCACCAGCGCAACTGATGCGCTTCGCTGTCGGATATTAGTGGTGCTTTGTGGAAAAGTTCGTGTTCTCTCTATTTTTATTTTGTTTTAAATGCCATGGCTCACCGTGACTGCAAATAATTGTGCTGTTGGCGCCGACACCTTTATGGTTCTCGTGTTTCTGCAGGGGAGGAGGATCAAAAGGCTGTTTACCACCCATTCATAGAGCATCTCCGAAATCATATTTTTATCTTTTATTTTCAAATTTGTTTTTTAAAAGAGCACCCCTTGATGGTGCATCAACTTTTAGTTTCGCCCGATCAGACAAAAGCTGTGGGTTTGGCGACAAACGCGAAGGCCCAACATGGGCCAAAACAATCATTTATTTTGGGGTATTTTGGGGCATTTGCAAACGGATTTTAACAGAAATCCCTTCGGGGCTTTTTGGATAGGGGAAGGTCCATCCCGAGGTCCATTTTTTGTCATTTTTCCAGATTTCCCGACCAGTGGGACATGAGTGGGGTGTCCTTTAACAACAACAAAAGAAAGTAGTCCATAGGGCTAAAAAAGAGAAAGTCCCACCGAGCAGGCCCCAAAGTCCCGACCTAGCGCAGCGCTGTCGTGGCAGCGTGCGGTCTGCCAAACACCCAGTGCGGCCTGCCGCTACATATAGATAGAAGGAGGGGGAGGGGATGACTTTCCTTCTCGTTGAGCCAGTTGTGGGGTGTAGGGCCTTTCTAAAAATAATTTTTCGTGCATGGTCTAAGAATGTGTACTAAACGTCCTTTTGGTCCCCCACAGGTGGTACCGCGAACTGGCGGGTGGGTCCCGGGAGCTGACGCCCGGCCCCGGGGAGCCTCGGGTGCTCGAGTCGGTGCTGCAGTGGATGCGGGTGTCGACCCTGGACGCGGGCCGCTACGTGTGCGTCGTGAGCAACCCGCTGGGCGAGGACCGGCGCGAGGTGGCGCTGGTGGTGGCGGCGCCGCTGGAGGCGCGCCTGCGCCCGCAGCACCAGGTCGTGGACGCGGGCTCGGTGGCGCAGTTCAACTGCTCCGTGTCGGGCGGCGCCGGCATGGTGCACGTGACGTGGCTCAAGGACGGGCGGCCGCTGCAGCCGCTGCAGGTGCACGACCGCATCCGGACGACGCAGCTGGGCCAGGTGCACGGGCTGGAGGTGCGCCACCTGGAGCGCGGCGACCGCGGCATGTACCAGTGCGTGGCGCGCTCGGCGGACGAGAGCACGCAGGCCAGCGCGGAGCTCGAGCTGGGCGGTGAGTAGGAGCACCCAATCCCGCACTTGGTTGAAACGAAAGGTCAAAGAAATAAATCCAATCATTTTTATCGTGTTCTGAAAGTTCCTACTGAAAATTTGTGTTGATGAACTTGCATGTTTCTGATGTTTTCCCTGCCCTTGTTCAGCCGTGGCACCGCGCCTGCTCTCCACGTTCATCGAGCAGACGCTGCAGCCGGGCCCGCCGCTCTCGTTGCGCTGCGCGGCCAGCGGCTCGCCGCCGCCCAGGATCACCTGGCTGCTGGACGGCGCGGAGGTGCGTCCCGGCGTCGCGCTCGGCGGCGGCCTCGGAGGCGCCGACCTGTACCAGCAGGCGCAGCACCAGGACCAGCGCGGCGACGTGGTGGGCTCGCTCAACATGTCGTCGGTGCGGGTGCAGCACGGCGGCATCTACACGTGCGTGGCCAGGAACATGATGGGCTCGGCGCAGCACACGGCCGCCCTCAACGTGTACGGGCCGCCCGTGAGCCGCGAGCCGCTCAACCTGACGGTCGTGTCCGGCTCGGACGTGTGGCTGCGCTGCCCGGTGGGAGGCTTCCCACTGTCGCGAGTCTCGTGGCAGAAGGGCAGCACGCTGCTCACGCCCTCCGCGTCGTCCGCGTCGTCCTCGTCGTCCTCGTCGTCATCGGTATCGTCATCATCATCATCGGCGACCTCCTCCGTCCTGGCGCACGTCTCCGTGTTCCCCAACGGCAGCCTGGTGCTGCGCGGCGTTGAGGCTGCGCGGGACGCGGGGCCCTACTCGTGCACCGCGTCGAACCAGCAAGGCCGCAGCGCCGAGGGTCGCCTGCTACTCCACGTCATGCGTGAGTGATAATACTGCAACACCACATTAGAAATCCTCAACTAAGACCTCGCCTACCTGACCTGACGTGACTAACGTTAGCCCATCATTGTGCCCCGCAGGGCCGCCGGAGATCGCCCCCTTCCAGTTCCCGAGCACGCTGGTGGAGGGCAACCGCGCCCAGGTGTCGTGCTCGCTCATCAGCGGCGACCTGCCCATCAGCATCTCGTGGCGCAAGGACGGCGGGCCGCTGCCGCGCGACCAGGCCGTCAACTCGCAGCAGATGGAGTTCTTCAGCCACCTGACCTTCAGCGACCTGCGCGCCCGCCACACCGGCCGCTACACGTGCATCGCCTCCAACGCGGCCGCCACCGCCAACTACAGCGCCGACCTGGTCGTTCGAGGTGAGACGCGGTCGCTGGATATACCGAATTTTCCATTTCATGTGTGACGCGAGTTGAATTTCTCACCTGCGTCGTCTTCCCCCTAGTCGCCCCGACGTGGATGGTGGAGCCGTCCGACGAGTCCGCCGTGTTTTTGCAGCCAGCCGCCCTCCATTGCCAGGTCCGCGGCTACCCGCCGCCGGTCACCATGTGGCTCCGTGAGTCGGGTGAGTCTTAGCCGAGTGTTCAAGTACAATAAACTACCAAAAAACATTTAATTATTCTTCTCTTCAAATTTTAAATGATCAAATAAACTTGTTTTGGACATAGAATTTATAATTTTACAATGATAGACTAAGAAATAAACTAGTGTTCAACTGCACAAAGTTAAACACTTAAAAGTGTTCTGCACCAGGGGTGGTAATGAACCTTTAGACACTTTTAAGTGTTCAAATTTACTGTTGAACACTTCAAAGTATTCAAATATCCAGTCAAACATTTAAAAATGTGCAACAAAGTAACAAAGTGTTCAACACTTGAATGTTCACGCCAGTTGAACACGTAATTTATCAAGTTCCAGTTTCCTCAATTAGTATTTTCTCGTCTGCGCAGGGGACCCGCCGGGCGAGCCGCTGCTGGTCGAGTCGACATCGGACAGCCAGCTGGCGCCCAACGGCTCGCTAGTGTTCCCGCAGGTGCAGCCGCACCTGCAGGGCCACTACACCTGCCGGGCGTCCAACGACATCGGGCAGCCGCTGTCCAAGACGGTGTTCCTCCGGGTGAATGGTCGGTGTCTAACCAAGGGTGCCTCTGGCGAGTGTGTTTCCTTCTCGACCTCGCCGTTGACCGTCCTCCTCTCCTTGTCGCAGTGCCGGCGCACTTCCCGCTCCGCCAGCAGAACGCGACGGCCGTGTCGGGCGGCTCGGTGACGCTGCGCTGCGAGGCGCTGGGCGACCTGCCGCTGCACGTGTCGTGGTCGCGGCCGGGGCTCTCGTCGTCCGGGCTGACGGGGCGCACGAGCGAGCGGAGGACGCCGTCCGGGGTGCCGGGCGTGGCCTCGGAGCTCCGGCTGACGGCGCTCACGCGGGAGCAGCAGGGCGCCTACCACTGCCACGCCAGCAACGACTTCGGCCAGGACGAGGCCGTCGTGCACTTCGCCGTTAAAGGTACGATGATGGCGCCGCCGCCGCTTCTGCTACCCACTTGTGCGAAATGACCCCGAAATTACGCGTCCTTGTCGGGAAGAAGTTGGACGGCCGCTTTTGCCCCGTCTGAGGGGCCGCTCTGCTGCGCTCTGCCCCGCCCGGGGCGCCCCGGGGGCTTGTTTGGGTCCCTCGACCCTTAGCCTCTTATCTACGTCCTACTTTGACCCCATCTTCCCCTCTTTCGCTCCGTAGCGGCGGGGCTCTTTCGGTTTATTCACTGCGCCGTGCAGGGCCGCCGCCGCGCGCGCCCGGCTTAGCTAACGTTTATGTCCGGGGGCGGGAGGGGGTGGGTGAGGGGGTTGGAGCCCCAAGTCCGGCGATGTTGTGTTGCGTTTCATGACGGAGCCACGGCGGGGCGGGGTGGAGCGGGCCTGTGATGTTGCCAAAGGATGGGTCTGGATGGGCCGCTTACCGCGCGTTGAGCCCTGTCTCGGACCCCGCCGGGCCTGCCCCCCCGCTCCACCCGCCCCGGTCTATGACGTAATATCCTTTCACTGCACCCAGCGGAGCAGCGCGGCGCCGCGGCGTGGAGCCCCCCGGCCAGCGCCATGCTTTGGGGGGCGGGGCGGGGGCGGGGCGGGCGCGATGGGGCACCATCATGAAAGGACGCGCCCGCCGTGCTATTCACTGCCAGGTCCGAGCGAGTTTGATTACCAGGGTCCCCGGAAGAAGGCGCCGACCTCGCGCAGTGAGACGGTAGCGGGCGTCCGTTTGTGCTTGTTCAATACATGCCGCTTTTCCTCCCTCGCCACAGAGCCACCCGGACCACCCGGCCGGCCGCACATCCTCGAGGTGGGCAGCCGCTGGCTGTCGGTGGCGTGGACGCCGCCGGCCGGCACCGAGGGCAGCGCCGAGCCGCTGGCGCACTACCTGCTCCAGTTCCTGGCGTCACCCGTCCTGCCGCAGCCCGGCCAGGAGGGCAACAGCGTGGACCGGGCGCTCGAGGCCGTGCTGGAGGCCGGCTGGCAGAACGTGACGGTGCCCGGGACGGCGCTGTCGGCCCGGCTCGTGCGCCTCGCCCCCGCCACCCAGCACCGCATCCGGGTGCTCGCCGTCAACGACCTCGGCCCCGGGCCGGCCAGCCAGGAAGCGGCGGCGCTCACGCTGCAGGAAGGTGAGTGTCTGTCTCTCCATATTTTACATTTCCTATATTTCCTGCCTAAAACAGTAGTTAATATTTAAACTGATTGTTTCATTATAACTTTTTAAAACTTGGTGTGTGATACGTTGTTCTGACTGAGCCTCTGCCTTGCAGCGCCCAGCGGTCCGCCCATGGAGCTGCGGGTGGAGGCGGGTGCGCCGGAGTCCATCTCGGTGCGCTGGCGGGTGAGTACTGCTCCTACCGCTCACGCGCTTGAACTGAAGAGGTAGGCTCTTTCGTTCAAGTCACGTCACAGGCCTCGAGGCCGTGGCATATATACATACTCACACGGCGCTGCCTCCGACAGCCGCCGCCACCGTCCGTGGGCGCCGTGCTCGGCTACCAGGTGGGCTTCCGGGCCGCGGACGACGACGCGGAGCGCGGCCCGGACGACGGCTGGGAGTGGCGCGTGGTGCGGGCCGCGGCGCGGGGCGCCGGCGCTGTGCTGAGCCTCGACGCCCTGGAGACGACGCTGTCGCCGCTGCGCCACTTCACGCGCTACGAGGTGGTGGTGCGCGCCTTCAACCAGGTGGGCCACGGCCCGGCCACGCCACCCATGTACGCCACGACGCAGGAGGGCGTGCCGTCCGAGTCGCCGCAGACCGTGCGCTGCGAGGCGCTGTCGCCGCAGGCGCTGCGCGTCCGCTGGGAGGCGCCGGCGCCCGCCCGCCAGCACGGCCTGCTCCAGGGCTACAAGGTCTTCTACCAGCTGCAGGCGGGCCCCGGCGCGCCGCAGGGCTCCGAGGAGGTGGAGGTGAAGCGAACCACCAACCTGGAGACCAACCTCCACGGCCTGGCCAAGTTCGCCAACTACTCGGTGCGGGTGGCCGCCTTCACGGGCGCCGGTGAGGGCGTGCGCTCCACGGCCTTGTACTGCCTCACGGAGGAGGATAGTGAGTGCATGTTTTGAATTGAAATGACTAGTCGGACAACAGCATGCCGTCCAATCTTTTATTGTAGAGACAACCTTCAAGTGACCGTCTAACGTCTAAACTTTAGTCCCAGGCCCCGTAGAGCACATCAAAGCCCTGGTCATGACGTCCGACAGTGTGCTGGTGGCTTGGTCCAGGCCCCTGCAGCCCAACGGAGCGGTGAGCAAGTACACGGTGTACCGCGCTCAGCAGCCTGCCCGTCTGGTAACGAACGACGTCTTTTTACGCTTTACGGCTCTGATGTATCGCAAAGCATTTTATGAAGTGATTTTCTTGTTCTTGTAGGATTTTCACAAGGAGACGGTGCCGGGCGACAGGGAACCCCTCTTCGAAGCGCGCCGCCTGAATGAGAACCAGACGTACGAGTTCTGGGTGACGGCCTCCACCGCCGTCGGCGAGGGCCCGCCCAGCGTCAAGGTCAAGCAGCGGCCGGTGTCTCGAGGTGTGTGCCAGCAAGACAATGAGGACATAACATGGCGGGTCAAACAGTTAAAAGTTAAGCAAAACAACGCATTTTTCCCGATGTAATTATTTCATTCCTGTTGCAGTGCCGGCGCGCATCGCCTCCTTCCCGCGGATCGTCCTGGCGTCGGCGGGCTCCCCGGTGGTGCTGCCGTGCCACGCGGTGGGCAGCCCGGCGCCCGCGCGCGACTGGCGGGGCCCGGACGAGGCACGCGTGTCGGCGGGCCGCCACCGGCACCTCGCCGACGGCGCGCTCGAGCTGGGCGGCGTCACGCCCGACGACGCCGGCAACTACTCGTGCCGCGTGGAGAACGTGTTTGGCGCCGACCGCGTCGACTACACCGTGGTGGTGGTGCTGCCGCCGTCCGCGCCGCACCTGGCCCTCAGCGGCGCCGGCCACGGCGCTCTGCACCTCGCGTGGAAGGCGCCCGACAACGGGGGCTCGCCCGTCACAGGTACGGAGCAGCCGGGAAAATTAATATTCGAATTGAATATAAACCACGGGCGTTATTAGTTGAGAGGTGGATAGAACCAAGTCCACCGTCCACATGTCGTCTAACTCTTCCCTCGTCCTCGGCAGGCTACGTCATGTCGTTCCGACGCGAGCGCGGCGAGTGGCAGGAGGTGTCGACGGACGCGGACCGGCGCGCGCTCACGCTGTCGGGGCTCAAGTGCGGCAGCGCGTACCAGGTGCGCTTGTCGGCGACCAACGCGGTGGGCCGCGGGCCGCCGAGCCACACGGTGAGCTGCAAGACGCAGGGCGGGCCGCCCCAGCCCGCGCGCCAGGACGCCGTGCTCGCCGTCAACGCCACGGCCGTGACGCTGTTCCCGGACGCGTGGCCGGCGGCCGGCTGCCCGTTGACGTACCTCGTCGTGGAGCTCAAGTCGGCCCCGGCCGAGCCCGGCGCCGCGCCCTGGACCGTGGGCGCGTGGAGCGACTGGCGCCTGGTGACGAACGCGGCGCGCGCCCAGGAGGACCTCACGCTGCCCGACCTGTCGCCCGCCTCCTGGTACGCGCTGCGCGTCACGGCGCACAACGACGCCGGCTCGCACACACAGGAGTTCGTGGTGGCCACCAGCGGCGAGGACGGCGCGCTGCCGCCGCCGCGCTCCGCGCCCGAGCTGTTGTCGCCCGGCGACCAGCCGCCCCTGCTCACGAGGATGCACGTGCTGGTCCCCACTGTGGCCGCGGCCGTGTGCGTGTCTGCGGTGGGCGTCTGCGTCTGCACGCTGGCCCGGAGGAGGTACGCTCTCAGTGTCCTCGTATGGGCAAGGCCATATCATTTGTACTCTACTTTGCTACTACTATACTCCCGCAGATTATTTTATCTAGATTTCAATCACTCAAGACAGCCAATAGTCGGCGGGCGCTGCTATACCTCGATGATTTCTGTCGGCCTACAGGAAGGACTCGACGGCGGGCGTGGCGGGTGGCTTCATCGGCACCAAGACCAGGGTGGAGGTGGAGAACCGTCGCAACCTGGACCACCACCACCACCAGCAGCAGCGCCACCACCACCTTCAGCCGCACCCGCAGCTGTACTCGCCGGCCACCGCCAGGAAGGGTGACTCCAGCCTTAGCGGCCAGAAGGGCAGCGACACTTCGGGTAGGTTGGGTTGGCAGCCGTGTCCAGTAGCCGGGTGACCAAGGGCCCTCTGTACTGACCGTGGTACTGACCGTGGTACTGACCGTGGTACTGACCGTGGTACTGACCGTTGGCTCCCTCTGCAGCAGCCGACTACGACATCTGCCCTTACGCGACCTTCTCGCTGGCCAACACGCAACCGTCGGGGCCCGTCCCGGTGCCGGGCCTCGGCAGCCGCACCCCTGCGCCCGCGCCCGACTACTCGCTGCACTTCCAGACCTTCACGCAGCGCGACTGCTACGAGGCGGGGCCGCGGCGCTCGCTCAGCCGGCCCGCCATCGCCGCCCCGGAGAGCTTCTACGCCAGCGGCGGCATCAAGCGAGGCAAGCGGCTGGTGGACAGCCCCCCTGACGGACTGAACCTCGGTGCGGCCCGCCTCGCGCTCCTAGCAGGGGGAAATAGGTTTTAAACAAAACTTAAACGCGGTGTAGTCTATGTATTTGGACATCGTCGAAATTTATCTATCTGACAAACTTTGGTATAAATTCGCATAAGTCATCAAAGTCAAGAAAAAGTGCAACAAAATACCTATTTCCCCTGTATCAGCATCATGACGCACTCCTTGGACAGTTAGAATCGACAAGTGCCTCACTTGTGTTGTTTTTAATTTCAGAAATATCGTGCATCTCGAGCCAGCAGACTCTCCCCATGACTGCGACCAACCACCGCAATCAGCAGCAGCAACAGCAGCAGCAGGGGGGCAAACATGAGAGGGCCAGTCGTTCGGGTACGCAGCCCCTGCCTCCCCCTAGTCTCTTGATCATGGTTTCGGCCTCCTCCCCATTTTGTTAAGTCTCAACCTTTCTGCCACAGGGAGCCGGCCGCGCAGCCTGGCGCTCACCAACCGGTCCGACTCGGACAGCTCTGGAGTCGGGTGCGGCGGCAGCCCGCGGAGGGCTTCTCCTCACAAGCTCCCCCTGCGCATGTCCACGCCTGGCCAGCGGGCGGCAGGTGCGTCCACGCCTCAACTACTCTCAAATTACAGACGTGTTTAGTTTCAGTTTTTAAACTGATCGTCATCTGAGACTGACCCTCTTTTGGCGTGTTTCGCAGAGCGACGGGCGTTCGAGCAGGACTCGAGCACCGAGTCCGCGGAGGCGTCCCCCGAGCCCTCCCGGCGCTCCCGCCGGGGTAACGGCGCCGCGGGCAACGGCGGCCATCGGAGAGGGATGCCAGCCAGGTAGCGCAAGTAGGTCCCTTTGAGTCCTCTCAGCTCGGCAACAGGCTTAGGCACTGACACGCCGGGGCGGCGCACCAACCACTTTGTGGCACGTGGGCGTAAAGTTATTCCTCTTCCCTCCACGTTCCCCGGGGTGACGCGTCGAAAAGTTGGACGCATTTTGGGATCTGCCACCGCATTGCAGTGTGCTGTACATGCCGGAGCAAGTGCATGCTTCTGACGGGTTGCCACGCTCAAGCCACACTGCAAGCGCCTGCTATGCGCAGCGTAGGCCAACCCGCCGCACAGCTCTGTCAGCTGGCGGCCCGCCTCGCCGGCGAACACCCGGCCAAGGGGAACGCGTCGTCTGAGCTGGTCGGGGGAGAAGTGTCGCCTCAGGGAACGCTCAATGTGGGGTACCTTGAGCGGTACGTGCCTAAATTTACCCTATTGGATGGGCCACTGGAATAAATTCACCGCAGCATTTTCGTATCTCTACTTAAAAATGGGAAAGTTGAAAAAGCAGTCTATATCGTCCTAGATTCGAGTGGTTTGTGCCAAAACCCTAGATCACCCCTCGTCTGCACGCACGGCTGAGCATGTTAGCGCAACCCTACCTCTCTCCTTCGCCCCCGAAGTGCTAAACTTTCTGCTACCAGGCTGATAAAAAAAACATCTTAGCTCTCGCACGTTTCTTGTTTCGAACCCCACTCCCACCACGCCGCATGTTTTCCTCGACCTCGAACCCTGGAAACATGTCTAAGACAGCAGTAGGTAAATTCACTGACGTCAGAATTTTTTACATTCATGTCAACATGGCAGGCGCACGCTCACAGGAAATACACCCCAGTGTTGCGGGTTTGCCTATCCGTTCTGCCCGTAAGGCGCCATAGCCTTGTGCCTAGTGCCATGGGTGTGCAAACCCGCAACACTGGGGAGTACATTAGCCTTTACACTCGGCACATGCATGGGCATGGCTTGTGAAATTTCATAGGCGTCATACTAACGTTGTACTAGCCGCGGAGAAACATAAAATAAGAATATAGTCCGCAACTTCGTGTTTATCTTTACCTTTCGGGTAGTATGAATTGTTTTGCTTTTCCAGGTTGCACAAATCGCTGAAGGGTGGCGCTGGGAGTGGCGGCAGCGCCGGGAGCGGGGGCAGTGCGGGCAGCACGGTGCCGCTGGACCCGCCGGCCGCGTTCTCGGACGGCGTGGAGCTGTCGGACGCCGAGTGCGACCGCCGGGACCAGGAGGAGCGCGAGCGGGCGCGGCAGCTGGCGGCGCTAGTGCGCAAGTAGGTCTCCTACACACAGACGGCTTGACAGACGGCTGGCAGTCTTTGACGACGCGGTTGTGCTTGTTTGTTTTAGGTACCGGCAGAAGCGTGAGCTGAAGCAAGACTTTACTATCCACGTCTGACCCTGGTGGACCGTGGATCTGTCCACGTCCTCCCTACGCCGCCTGCTATCCTTTCAGTGACGGAAATGCTCTGCTTGTTGCTCAACTTGTACACTGTAATGGAGGTTTCAAAGAGACTGCGCTGTAGTTGTACTTTGTCTGTGATACGCTCAGCCACTGTACGGAATGTGGCCGTGCAAGAAAAAGGGTTGCGTTGTTGGTGTACCCAAAGGAAACTGTTCTGTGATGAAGTAGAGACTTTTTTATTTTTCTATAATATGATAACTGTTTCTACGTAAAGTGGGGTGTTATTGTGACATGGATAATTTTAATTGTTGTTGAAAAAGTGCGTGACGTTTTTTTATTGTCTATATAAGTGTTGTTTATATGCCAGTTCTTTTTGTGTAATATTCAGCTACCATGGGCGACACAATATAGCTTATAATTGTTTTGGAGTATCATGCTCCTTCATGAGGGTCTGAACTATATTCCAAGAGACACGAAATAATTAATTGTAGCTTTGGTGACGGTAGACCCATCACTTGCTATTCAAATTCGTTAATTGGCCTGAAATTGTCAACATTTTTCACCTGTCCACCCGTCCTGCATTTGTGCCTTTTTTACAAATAAAGACAAAAACTTAAACCCTAGCTTTTTTGTGAGTAAAATGTAGTCGAGAGCTTCAATAAAGACATCAACTTAATCTAATACAATATTTATTTATTTTACGGCCCAATGCTGTTTTAATAAGTGTAGGCGCTCCTATAACAACTACAATCGTCTCGGCGCCTCGCCCCTCCCGGCCCCCCTCGCGTTGGACGGCGGCGCGTATTCACGTCCCTTTGTGGACACAATGCTGGCAGCCAGAGTCAGCATAATCCGACCAGACTACAGAAACATCCTTTTCGATAAAATCGAATGAAATCCGAAGCCTTCAGGGTTTAAGCAGAAGGCAAGGGCTTGCTCTGCACACTTAATCCTTATCAAGCCGAAAGTCCCCAGAGACCCCCAAACCTAAGGGACAGCTTGCGTACTGATTGCCTACCCTCCAGGCGCCCTAAGCCACAACTCGCCGCAAAGGGTCGCCCTCGCCTCGCAGTACGAACGAGTCGGGGGCATAAGGGGCCAACACCCAGGACTCTACAGCGGGCCCTCGGTGATCGAGGGAACCGGAGCTTTATCCACAGCGGCCGCTATGACGCGCAATTCGTCAGAACCGGCCCCCGTACTTTTTGGTTGTTGGACTTACGGGTGTCGCAAGGTGAGCAAGACTGAAACCCAGATTCAGAGGCCTTACCATCAGGGGTACCGGGTGCCCGTAAGAATACGCGGCAGCTCGATGGGTTGCCTACGCACTAGCTTGCAGGCGCGGAGGGCGCGGGGGGGGAGCGGTGGAGGTGCGCACCATCCAGCGAATTCCGAACAGACTATAGAGGCGCCTTTTAGGACCAAACTATTTTTCAAAGAATGTGAAAAATAGGGGGTACCCACCCCGCTTTTACACGGGGCCCCGCGTGCTTAACTTCGGAGTTCGGATGGGATCCGGTGTGTCCACGCCATCAGCCAGACAGTTATATCCGATCAACTGTTGACTAGGGTTGTCGCCTACCCGCTTAAACAGGAACGACGGGTACCCAGGGGAGTATTTTCCTCATCCCGCCGCAGTAGTTAGCGAACTGTGGTCACTGTTCCGAACAGCCGCTCCCAACCGCAGTGGTCAGAATATACTCCCGGGGTTTGTGAGACGGTTGAGGCGTACGTTGGTTAAACTGTACTGACCCACCACAGGTCATGGAGCCCTTTTCAGCCAGTTTCTAGGTCTTATTATGCACCCCGCTACCACAGCGAGGTGCCAGACACCGGGGCGCGAACCCCGGCCCAGAAAAATTTCAGGACGACGGGGATTCGAACCTCCGTCCTCCCACGGGCTGGGCGGGCGCGCTACCGACTGAGCCATAGAGGCGAGATACGGTCTTTGGCTCCAAGGAACCAATGATTCTACGCTGTCGCTGACTGGCGTCGCTCCTTGTCTCTCGTAATACAGGACCGACTTCGAACGCGCAGGGGGGAAGACGGGCGGGCGGCCGAGCGCGCTAAATCGTGCTCGTGTCAAACTGTTCGCCCGAGATTCGACTCCCGGCTAGGGCAGATATATATTTTATCGTCGCTCCTTGTCTCTCGTAATACAGGACCGACTTCGAACGCGCAGGGGGGAAGACGGGCGGGCGGCCGAGCGCGCTAAATCGTGCTCGTGTCAAACTGTTCGCCCGAGATTCGACTCCCGGCTAGGGCAGATATATATTTTATCTCCTTCACTTCTGTAGCAGCCGAGGTTGCTCAATTGTGACCAGTCTGAAACTGTCTGGGGTTCGACTCCCGGCCAGCGCGACCACGGTGAGTGTGCCGTAATTATTGCTCTCCCTCTTTGCCGTGCCTCGTCGCCTACCCCTTCTCCTCCTCCCCACCGCGTATTTCCCTTAATGGAAACGTAAACAAACAGTGAAGAGATCGGCGTTTCTGCCAAATACCGATAATACCTACTCATATAATTGATGATCATAGGATTTTAACCAGAATTTTAGGCCGCTGTTCGATATTAATCGTAAGGTATAGTGCTTGATTGTTTCCGTCCCGGAATATTGAATTGTTCCATTCCGGTCATTGTTGTAGGAGGTTAGTGTTCTCCTGTGGCCCAATGTTTACACGCACAATTATGGTGTAAGTTATTTTTTGAGGCCGATTAAATGATGCCCCGTGATGTAAATAACTTGGCTCACTGTCAGCTTTGCTGAAAAGGTGTTGAATGGGTAGACTCCTCCAATCCATGCAGTATGTTAAATACTGTTGTAGGTCCTTATGCAAATGGGTGAACTGCCAGTGTTTTTTCACATATCATATAATTTACTCTATATTATTCTCGTGGAACAGAAAACTTCATTACTTTCTGGTTGGGGTGCAAACCGAGTGATACTATTTGCGTAATCCCACAAACAATCAATCAATGTGCGTTGCAGATAATTTGCTGCTGCCCCTTCGTACTTAATGCTTAGTCCAGTGCCAAAATTAGTTATTTGAAAGACCATGGTCATTTAGAGATGCATGGGGGGAGAGGCATTTAAAAGTGTATTGTATGAGTAAATTATATGTAACGCGCTAAAAGTACCGTTTAATTTGATTGCAGGAACTCAGCCCAGAAATGTTCTTGACATGAGCAAGAAAAGTCTATGGAATCATTTAACCCAAAAGAATAGGTGAGTTAACATGACAGTAACCGCCAACGCTGGTCCAATTTGTCTCTAAACAGACACTATGAGGAGCTTCCTTTCATGTGCATCAAAGGGTGGTTTTTGATGTTTTTTTGTGGTGCCTTGGTTCTTTGCTGTCGATTTCAATCCTCCTCTGTCAAGATCCAGGCTGATTTGTTATCATTGAAAATGTCTTTTAAAAGTCTTGACAATTTGGAAAATTGCTGGAATTGGTTTGGATTGGTCGGGCAAACTCCCTTTTCAGTTGCTCTGTCTAAATATCATGGTGCCGACCCACTACAGCAGAGTTCTTAACCAGTGCACCGTAGGTAGCCTACCTGCCCATACTTGGAGAGACCAGCTCTTAAAACTCAAGTTTCTGTGAACAGGAGTGGTTCCTGACAGAAGCAAAAGTAGTTTTGTGGTCCCTAGTTCACCCCTATCTATTCAAGTACTCCCCTGTCAAAAACCGGACCCATGCCTTTGAAAATTTTGCCAAAAATGAAAAATTTGAAAATCGCTGGAAATGGTTGGGATTGGTCCTTTCGAATTCTGCGTCGAAGTTTCACCCCGCCGGTCCATTTCAAGTGAGTTGCGCCTGTTTTTCTTGGTCCGGTTCGCCTGCGAGGTAGGCAGCCCATCGTACGCTGACCGCCAGATTAAAAGGCCACCCTTGAAACGCAAGTTTCTCTGGATAGGGGTGGGTTCTTCCAGAACCAAAGGTAGTTTTGCGGTCCCCTGGGTCACCTCTGTCGTTTCGACTACTTTTCCGTCGAAATCCGGACCCATCAATTTTCGCTAAAAACACAAAGGCTATAGCCTTTGTACATTTTGCCAAAAAT